TTCGGTTTCGGTTTGTAAAATTAAAACCGAATTTTTTCGGTTAATTCAAAATCGGTTTCGGTTTTAACCGAAACCGGTTTTTGCCCACCCCTACTTATTGGTTATCTCTGGGAAAGATAGTGTCTGAACATTTGAGTTTTAGGTTCTAATTTAAGTAATTATCTCCTTTTTCTAATTTTTTCAGTGTAAAAAAAAAATTTATGTTTTATTATTAAATATCATTTTTCCTTTTTCTTCATGTATTTATTATTATTAAATATTGCAGTAACGTAGTTGATTGATTTACATACAGTTACAATCCTGTACTATAAAGTAAACGGTTAAAAAGTAAGTTTTTGTTTGATTATTAAATATCATTTTCTCTTTTTTTGGGTAATTAATTCGTCAGCTTCTGGTCCCTTTGGTCTCTCCTCTCTCCCTATTTTCTCGTTTTTCTGTTAAAAAAAATATTTAACTGTCTCAACTATTTCATATTATAAAACAGTAATTTTTAAGTGAGAAATAAAGTTTTTTTTTATGGTGAATCTCTCTTTCAATTTAAAAATTTTTATTTTATAAAAATGGTTTGGCATCATTTGAACAACACTGGGCTTCCTTTAATGATGAAAAAATCAAGATAGGATGGGATGCAGTATGGTTTGCAATTATTTGGTCCTTATGGATTGTGAGGAATTATAAATCCTTCAAAAATTACGATCAGGATGCAAATAGAATTTTTGAACTTGCGCAATTGAGGACATTCCAATGGATTAAAAACAGATCATCTAGGTACTCTTTTAATATTTGCCATTGGATCCTGGACCCTGTGGAATGCTTGAAGGATAAAAGAAGGAAATAAACGACATTGAGCTGAAATGGGTGTTGGATAGACGTGAGTGACCTCTTTGAATATTTTCTCTGTTTTTATCTTGATCCAGTTTTTGGTCCCATTGGTGCTGGAATAGTTATTGTTTTGTAACGGGTTGGAGTACCCTTGTACTCCCTTATCTATATCTATACATATTCCTTTGCTGTGCAAAAAAAAAAAAAATTTATTTTATAATCTAAAATAATCTAAACCATGAAACAGTTGACCCTTTTTATTATACTGCTCCGACCAATCCGTTTGCAAGTTTCCTTGTCAAGTGCATGGTAAGTTTTTGGACAGTACCATATCTCCAATAAGTAAATCTATAAAAATGATTAACTTTAACTAATATTTTTATATTTTAGTAATATGCCCTATTTTTTCCTCTTTATATTAGTAATTTATTTATTATTATTATTTTTTTAAATCTCTATCTATCCAAATATATTTCTTTTTACACATTAATTTTTTACTATTGTTACTTTTTCACTTACCTACACTTGACCATTTATTAAGTTTGTTGGAATTCTTTCTTTTAGTTTTTTTTTTTTGTCTCATCTTTTATTATTATATTTATCTATCTATTCTACATTCACCCTTAATTTTCTTTTATATATTAATAATTTATTTGTTATTAATATTTCTCTCTTTATCCTTATTCTCTCAATATTATTTTTTCTTAATCACTTTTTAAATCTTTATTTATTATTGTATATTATTTTTACCTCAATTTCTCTATCCTAGGGTGGCAACCCCGTCCCTGCCAATGACGAGGATAAGGATCCCTGTAGCGAATTTTAACAAAGGGTAGATTTTGCCTCCATTTCCATTCTCCACTAGACCTCATTTCCTATCGATTAATATCAAAATATAAAATTTTTAATATAATAAAAAATCAGTACGAAGGAATGAAAGAATTTTCTTTTCTCAATTTTTTGATTTTACTAAGAAACTACTGTACCTTTCCATGTTATATGTATATGTAAAGAAATTAATTAGGCAATTCATGAATAGAAATGGCAATGAGCAATTAGAGAATCAAGTAAAATCTAAAAAAATCCAGACTCTCCATGGTAATTCAACCATAAACAAAGTATTTAAACTTCTAACCGTTTGAATCTGCAAGTGAAGTAGTCCGGCAGCACAGTAGGTGGCAGTAGCCGCAGCACAGTAGGTGGCAGCAGCCGCAGCACAAAGACAAAGTTCAGCAGTCCAGTTCGGCAACAACTCCAACAGATCTGATCGGCAAATGGCTTCGATAGCAGCAGTCCAGCTGGATTCGTTAGCAGCAATGCAGCCTGGTAGCAGTCCACTCCGGCAACAGTATGTAGTCCAGCTCCGGCAGCAGCTCCAGCAGATCCGTAGGCGGCAATGGAGGGATTTACCGATTTAGGGTTACTGGGTTGGGAGAAAGGCTAAGGTGAAAGGTGAGAGAGTCTGAAAGTGAGATTTTGAGAAACTAGAAGTGAGAAAGAATGGGTGCTAAGCAGCTGAGCTGAGTCTCAGACTCCTGAGAGTGCCGACGGCAACAAGGCAATTCGGGGACGGTTAGAGTGTTGAGTAACAGAGTAAGGTTAGTGTTAATAATGGGTTGGGTTGAGTTGAATTGAGTTGCGTAAAATTGGGTTAAATTGAATTTTATGGGTTGGGTTGAAGTTTTTTTTTTTTTTTTTTTTTTATGCAAAGGTTGGGTTGAGTTGGATTGGGTAAAATTAGATTAAGTTAAAAAAAATAATAGGAATAGGAATAGCACCAGAGGAGGTTATACTCACCAATTGGCAGAAGCAGAAGAACTAAGAAAAATGCTTGAAATGAAAGGAAGAGAATTAATTATATAATTCTTTTGGAATGCTGCAATATATAGAGACCAAAACACTACTATTTTGTATTATTTGCTTCAATCACCGGCAAAGAAAGGCATATAAGTGTATTATTTCTTCTAATTAGCTAACAAAAGAAGATTTTTATTATGAAGCAAATGCAACAACTCAAAAGCAGGGTACCTCAACCCGCGATCAGCCAACAAAGTCTAAATAATAAAATTTGCTCTTGCCGTTAAGGCATTATTAAATAAGAAAATCTCACATTAAAGATATAATAAAAATATATGTGATTTAAATACAATGAGAGCTATTTTAATTATTATCAATCGGTTTAAAATTATATGTAAATTTTGTATTAAAACTCGTATACCCAGTTTTCATATGGTATTATAGTTTAGTTTCGGAAAACCTTTTGTGACCTTGCAGGCTTGCATGTGAGAGCTTGTGGATTAAGAAAATCTCAGATCGAATTTGTAACAAAAAAAAAAACATGTGGCTTACAAATAAAATAAGGGATAAACCACTTATAGCCAATTAATTTTGGCTTTGATGCAAATTTAAATGTAAATTACAATTAATAGTTGTGTGTTACAAGCCGTTGATGCATTGTCCTAAGGCTGGAGAAAAGTGAAGGGCAGGATAAAATATCGAGTGCAACGTGGGTTACATGAAAGGTTGCACCATGTCTTTATTGTGGGTGTTACATGTCATTGATGCTTTGTCCCATGTCTGGAGAAAGTGGAAGTGTAAAGAGCAGGAGAAGATTATTAAGTGCAATGTGAGTCACATAAAAGGTTGCATCATATCCTTGTTGAGGGTGTTACATGCCGTTGTTGATTTGTCTCGTGGCTAGATACAGTGGAAGTGTAAAGTGCAGGAGAAGATTATTGAGTGCAATGTGAGTCCCATTTTAGGTTGCACCATATATAAACTGTCTTGTTCCATGAGTATCACTGGGGCCAAGAACACAACTACAGCTTTTGTAAGAACCAGCACAATTGATGGATGTTGTGCCGAAAGATATTACATCATCGGGTTCCATTGATGTGCCAGGTAGATATATATTGTGCCTTCGTGTTTGTTTAGGGAATAAGAATATAAGAACCCTGCTCTCCCATGTAACAAATAATTTAGTGATATGCTTCAAGTGTATGAGGCTACATTACCGGATTGGAAAAACCAACACAGTTCATGGGAATTATAATTATATCAGAAGATTAGATAGAAATTAATGTCAGAGAAGAAAAAAAGGAAAAAGAAAAAGGCAATAAGTAGCTCTTTGAATTTTGGCAGTAAGAAGCTTGTTGTTGTGAGCATGCTTTGTTAACTCAGCAGCAACATCTCAAATACCTGCCACACCATAGATGAATATAACATGTCTACATCTACTAAATACTAAAATTTTATTTTTTGGTGAGGCAATACTTATGATTAGTACTTCAAAACAGCAAGTACTAGAGAAATGGTTGGAAATAATACCTCTTAGCTAGTTTTCGATTAGACCTCATGTCCACGATGTAAGTTTTAAGTAAATTATCTAGCGAACAAGATTACAGAAAAGGTTGCAAATAAAGAAATTTGAAGATTAATTAAATTCTCAAAGATTTACAAAGCACAATGCCCTGACTAAAAACCAATGCTTCATTCAGTTGCAGGGGATTTTCTTCAGAGCAGACCTTGGCGCTGCAGATCGCTATGTCTTTTTGGTGTATATATTACCCTCTTTGTTTTGGCATTCTTCAAGATCTGAGTTCCGCTCATTTCGCCTTTTTCGTTCTTCTATCTTCTTTCACAGTGCTTGCGCTTCCTCAATTGATATGATTTCGTAGAAGTCATTGGTGTTGGTGTAAGTTTTTGCAGTAAAGTAAAAGAACAGAAAATGCAGAACCAGAAAATTTCAGAACAAGAGCTTCTCTGATATGGAGCTCTCTTTTCATTTCAGATGAAAATTACAAGACATAAGAGTTGCTAAAAA